CGGTTGGTTGCGATTGCTTTTAAAGATGGGAACTGTTGTAGTCATAGTTTGCAAGAGAATAGATTTAATACAGGACACATATGTTATAGGATTATTTTATAACCAGCCAAAGAGTCACATGCAAAGAGTTTGGGAGATCTGTCCACACACTAGAGACCCAAAGAATCCACCTGAGGGCCTGGGTCCCATGGCAGTGTCCTACATGAGTCCAGCGGGAGGCTTAGCACCTATGACAATGTCTCATGGAGGTCTGTATCAAAGATCTGCACTGGGAAGGTCCAAAGGCCAGTGATGGAAGCTAGAAGGTCTGCGCCAGCGGGATGAAGGGTCTGTGCCAGCAGGCTGAGGGATCTGCCCTGGAGCCAGGAAGCGACACTCAAGGTAAGGACCAGAGCTCCCCCAAAGAGAACAGTAGCCGTCCTCAGCGACAGCGAGGACCTGAGCTCCTCCTATGATAACAGCTGAGTCCATATCAGGCGTGACAAGCTTCTCCGGGAGAACCAGCAGCACCCCATCTTCCCCTCCAGTTCTCCTTTAATGCTGCTGGCAACAGTCCTCAGGCGGGCCTTTCCCACCCAGCACCGCGCTGACTCAGTTCAGCTGGGGGTTACACGTTGACCACTAGTTAATCCACCACAGGAGCTGTTCATACAATACTAACCCTGAGTGTGACTGAGCTATCCGTTGTGCTCAGCTGAAGACACTGATACCTCCTCAGACACTAGAGGAAAAGTGGTGAGTTCTCTTTCACAACAAGGGGCAGTTACACAACAGGGTGTGTTGTGATTTATCCAGTTTGCATTGAGCTTCTTGTAGTCAGGAAGTGCTTAGTGTTATCATCCCGAAAGCTGCTGGGGGCTTGAAGATAGTCTCTGTTACCTAGAGGAAGTTGGGAGGCAGGGCTGCCTTGGTAGCGCATGGATATAACCCAGGGCCAAGTTGCCCCTGCCCTGTCCTTGCTTGGCAGCTTGGCTCCATCTGTAGCCTAGTGCCTCGGAGTCACACGACGGTGGCTGCATTCCAGGTGCCGTGTCTGCTCAGGACAGTATCCAAAACACGAAAGAGTCCAGATGCCCGCCACCCAAACACCCACCACCCCACACACATGTGCACACGTGTGTGCCCCATTCCATGGATTTTACTTTTACTTTATCAGTATCTAACTTAACATATTTATTTTTGTGTACTGTCTGACTTTCTTGAATGAAATGCAAGTTCCACAAGGCCAGGAGTTGTTAGGTTTTATTCACTGATATAATCCTGTGCTTGTACCAGGACGTGGCATAGAACAGGTACTTAATAGCTACATTTATTTATTTATTGGTTTTTTTTTTGACACAGGGTCTTGCTCTGTAGTTTATTTATTATTTATTTTTTGAACCAGGAATCGAACCCAGGACCTTGGGTTTGCTAGGCAGGCACTGTGCTGCCGAGCTATATCCCCAGCTTGCTCTGTAGTTTAGACTGGCCTTGAACTTACTATGTAGCCCAGGATGGCCTTGAACTTGAGGTGATCCTCTTGCCTCAGCCTCCTGAGTGCTGGGATTACAGGCGTGTGCCACCACACCCAGCTTATTTTTGTTTTTTTGAGACAGGGTCTCACTACATAGTCTAGGCTGGCCTCAACTCCTGGCGATCCACCTGTCTCCCAGGTGCTGGGATTACAGGTGTGCGCCACAATGTCCAACCAATGGATACTTGTTAAATGAACGAGTGAGTGAATGCTGGCCTCTGCTCCCAGCCACGAGGCCACTTTCCTACAAATGAAAGAGGTGCTGGTATTGAGGGCTGAGCCTATGGCAGCTGAGCATGGCAGAAGAGTTCTGCAGCCTTCAGAATTAGTGGATCATCTGCTCCCCATCCTTGGAGTCTGAGCACTAAGGGAGGAGGAAGGATTCTGCTGGACCCCTGCTACTCTCTGGCCGCCCTGGTGGCTGCGTCTGATTGGTGCATCTTTTGTCACATGTCTGCGCCCTGCTGCAAGGGATGCTGGGAAAGTGAGTGCAACTGTGGCCGGCAGCTCCGCCCCACGAAGCTGGAGATTCTTCAGAACTGGAAGGGTGTTTGGCGCCAAAGCAACAAAACCAGAAACAGTTTCACTGCAAACCCTGGACTTAATTCTGGCAGCTCAGAGGGTGAAACTTCTGCTAGCCCACAGGCTGTGAGCTGTGCTTGGCAGATACTGGTGTTTCTAGCAGTGTTAGGGAAGGCCTACTATGTGCCCAGCCCCAGTCTAAGCTGTCTACCTGCAATGACCCGCTTTATTCTTGTAACGACTTTGTGAGGTGTGTATTTATCAGCCACACACAGCCTTTTTACAGGTGAGGAAAATGAAGCGCAGGAAGGGGAGAAGTTCATTCTTAGTCACTTGCACTCCATTGGCTGTGCCAGCTGGGGCTGCCACATGGATAGCCTCTGGGTTTCAGCCCCGGCAACCCCGTCTGATGCCCCAGTTCACACCTGCAGGTTCCCATCTGCGCCCAGCAGCGTTTTGTGTGTGTTTCTGATCCCTGCCCAGTTTCCTCAGGCCTTTAAGGTAGGGATGGACTGGGGTGGAGAGAGGACTGTCATGAGGACTCACAGGGTTCAAGCCCCCAGAAGATTCGAGAATGAGCAGGGCCTAGAACCTGCGGAGCCTGAGGCAGGCTCCTGCGGCTACAACTCCTCCTGCCCAGATTAGCTGTGGCCCGTGGCAATTCCTCCTGGGAGGAGCGGCTGTCACACTGAGGTTGCTGCAGGGGAGGAGGGAGGAGAAGCCGGGAAAAGCACGGACCGGGAGTGGGCATGCGCACAAGCCTGGCCGCAAGAGGCCCAGGGAGGACGAACCTGAGCTGTGAGGGCATCGGGAGCAGCTTGTTTGTGCCAGGCCTCACCCCTGCGCCTGTGGCAGATGTCGACATTCCTGGGGTTCCCAAGAAGGAAGAGAGAAGACGAAAAGAGGGGGTGAGAGGGGAGCAAGAGCCGGGCTTCCCTGGGCCTCTAGACGTTAGCTTGGGGTTAGGGGGAGCAGGGCCTTCTCTTTGCGATTTCAGCATCTATACCTCGGAGCTCTATCCCCAGCTTGCTCTATAGTTTAGACTGGCCTTGAACTTACTATGTAGCCCAGGATGGCCTTGAACCTCGGCGGTAACCTGGGTGATCAGCTATCCTGGTTTGCGCAGGACTTGGAGGGCTGCAATTACAAAAGCCCCGGGGAAGCCAGGAGGGTCGGTTGCCCTGGTAGAAAGTGAGCTCCCCTCACCCCCTCCTGCTGTTCCCGCTCCGCCAGTTTGGGTTTGGACCAGCACGTCTCACATTTCACCATGCACTCCCATCTCCAGGACTTTCTTTCCCAGGAAACACACAGCTGCCCCTGGTCTACAGACCACCCTCAGGGTGGTGACGCGGAAAGTATCCCCAGCTCCCGGCAGAGCAGCTGCCTTCAACCCTAACCAGGAGAGAGGAGCCGTGGCCGCCGCAAAAGCCCGTCTGCCGTTCCTAAGGCAAACACAGCCCGGCCTCCTCACTCTGGGGTCACGCGGGTCTCGGCTCTGCAGTGCAGGGCGGCTGCGGACTGTGCTTCTGTTTAAAATCCACACACACAGCGGACAGCGCTCATCACAGGCGCTGTTCGTTTGGGCTGCGTTTCCGTGATGTGGGCCCTGCCCGGGGCAGCGTGGTTGGTTGCATTTTGCATTCTTCCCTCCTCCTCCTATCTCACTTTCTGTCCAGCCCTCAGCAGTCTGGGTCCCTGCAGAAATGAAGATGGCCCGGGAAGATGAGATGTCCTCTCTGTGGAGGACAGCTGCGAAGAGACTGCAGGCGAGATTCCCTCTCCCCTCCCCTCTGGAGCAAGCAGGGGCGGGCTTGGCAGGATTGCTGGGGGGACCGTGTGGGTGTTCCAGCACTAGGAATGACTTTTGGGGAGCAGGAGTCCTGGCCAGCGCTCCCTCCGCCCTCTCAGCAGGCTTGCTCTTTGTGACAAGTCATTGTCACAAGAACTAACTGGGCTTCGGAGCTTCATGGTCCGGCGCCGTGGACCTGGCTGGAGAGCGGCCTCGGCGAGTTTCTTGCCCTGTCTGGGCCTCCCCTGCACGCCCGAGCTGGAGGTGATGGGGGAACCTAGCGCCCGTGGCTGGAGCAAAATACCCAAGGCTGAGGATTCCATGAAGAAGGGCAACTTAGTTCACAGCACCGACATCTGCTGGGCTCTGTGAGGCCCCCTCGGCTGTGTGGGATCCTGCCGGGATGCGGGTGAGGGGAGAGACCTGGGGGAGACAGGAAGTCGGGGCGGGGAGGGTCGGGGCACTGCGTGATGACAGCTCCCTCTCAGGAACTAGCTGAGGTGGCAGGAGACCTACTTTAATGCCTCGGAGGGCCAGTCTGCGTGACCTACCCGCTTCCCACTGAGCTTCCCCGTCTCCTAGCATTGCCACCCTGGGGGCCACGCCTCCAACACGCGAGCCCCGGTGGGCAAATGACGCCCACAGCACAGCACCAGGCCTTTGCTGCGGCCCAAGACTGCTAGGAGCTGCGTGAATTGGGTGCCTGCTTCTAGCTTCCGGTTGGATTCAGCAAGGAAGGTACCAGCCAAAGATGGATGTTGGGAATTTATTACTGCCCGTCCCTGTTCCAGGCTACAGCTATGAATATCTGACCTCAGTTCCTGCCAGGCAGATGTCTCCTCGGTGCCAGGCCCGAGGGTGCGTGCCAGTTATCAATATTTATTGCCTCTCAGCTCCAAAGTCATCCTTCAATGCCCGTTCAGTAGAGCTCCTTTAAGCATTTCGCTCACAGCGAACAAAATGTAAAGCTTTCTCAGTAGAGGGCGCTCGTGGGACACTGTGGCTCTCTGCTTTGTTTTCATCTCAGGTTCTGGCCAGTCAGAGCACGGTCTCTTCCAGGCTTCACTGATTGGCTCAGTGGTGGGAGGGGCTTAAACTGGTCCAGTCAGAGCAAATCTCAGGGTTTAGGGAGGATCTATGGAAAAGCTGCCTTGGTATTTCCTGTTAGACTCAGATTTGAGAAGATGAGAGTCTGGGTTTCTGCAGCCATGTTGTCACCATGAGGGGAGAGTCTTGAGTGGCCAGGAATCACCACAGGGAAAAAGAGTGGAGCCAAGGTGATTGTAAGATAGACACTGACTCCTCATGACAGCGTCGCTGCAGCGGGCACGACTGTGGCCTTTTCAGTTCTGGGAACCTGTGATTATTTTCTCTCCCAGCCACCCTCCTCGCCATAACTTTCTTCCCATAAGCCAGGTTGGGTTGGGTTTTCTGATATCTGAAACATAACAGTCCTACTTAATATAATGGCTTTGGGAAAGACCATTACCGAACGTCTCTTTTTTTTCCAGGCACTTTACTACATGATCTCATTCACATCTCCTGTCCCCACCCAGCCCTGAGAGGAGAAGAGCCTTACTATTATCTCCATTTTCCAGATGAGAAAAACAACGCTCAGAGAAGGTAAGTAACCAGCTCGAGGCTGCCCAGCTCAGAAGTGGTGGGTAGGACGCAGGCCTGGCTGCAGCCTTCATGCCCCCCACACACCTGGCAGCGGACCACGAGCCAGTGGCACCTCCTGCAGTGGCGGAGCGGGCAGTGGCAGGGAGGGAGGCGCAGGGGCCCGGGGTGGGGGAGGGGTGCAGTGTGGAGGCTGAGGGCTGTACAGTAGTGCGGGGGCTGCCCCGCTTTCATTATCTCACTGCTAATGAAACGCGCAAATCGCGGTTGTGCCACGTGGGTTGTAACGAAGTGTGAAAACGCATTTGTAATTAGCACCGGCACTAATGGAGGCGAGTGGAGAATGTGTGAATGTCACCCCCACCCCCCAAAGGCCACGAAAAACAAGGCTAAGGTGCATCCCTGTCCCACATTATTTTATTTTTTGAAACAGAGTCTCACTGTGTAGCCCAGGCTGGCCTCAAGCTCGCCTCGATCCTCCTGCCTCAGCCTCCCCAGTGCTGGGATTACAGGCGTGCCCACCTTGCCCAGCCATCGCCGTTTTGTTGTGCGTGCTGTCCTAGTTGCCCTTAGGTTGTCATGGAATTATGCAGGACTGTAGCAAGAGCTGCTCTTTACTGAGCACTTCCTGTGGCTGGTTCTTTCTCGGTGCTTCAGAGAGTTCATTTCGCGAGTCTTTATGTCGCCCTGGTAGGGTGGATGTCAGGCTTCGCTGTGCAGCGAGGGAGAGCTAGAAGTAGGGGGGAGGTTCAGTGACCTCACAGGGTCACACGCCAAGGCAATGGCTTGTCAGGAATAAACCTTGAGATCCTTAGGCTCCCAGACCCGGGTTCCTCCTGTTTCCTGAAATGCACCGTAGGTCCTGTTACTCTGCCTTTTTGGTGTAGCGAGAGTTCAGGAGAGTTTGCTAATTGACTCTTAGAAGGCCAGAGGGCCTGGCTGGACGGAGTGTCGGGTTCTGGTTTCAGCCGCTTGTTGTGAAGGGCATCTTGAGAAGCCAGCAGGGTTCACGTGAAGGCTCACAGCACTCTCTCCTCGGTGTTAGCTCTGTCCCAGCCTCCCATCCCAGAAGCACTCAGGTTCATATCCAGAGAGGAAGAGACAAGGGCTTTGCTGATAGGGCCATAAAAACCCTAACATCTATCCCAAGGGAGGAGTCCAAGACTGGCAACTCGAAGATGTCTTCAAGGACTCAGGCTCCTGTATTTCTGTTTTACCACTCAGTGGCCTTGGCTTATATCCTTATGGTTGCCTTATGGCCCAAAAGGGGTGTTAGAGATCGAGCAATCACATCTATGTTCCAGGAACAAGGCTAGAGATGGGTCATCTTCTCCTTTGTAAGGATATTTTTTAACATCCCCTATAAAGGCTTACTTACACTTCTCTGGCCAGAACTTACTTATCTGGCCATATCTTGCTGCAGAGTAGGCTGAGATATACAGTATGCCTGGACAGAATGGTGGTTCTATTACTAAGGTGGAAAGGGAAGGTGGATGGCTGGACGGACACTTGTGTTTCTGTCGCCGCAGCTACCACCGGCTGCGGGAGAAGCGTGTGTGAGAGTTGTGCCTGGGCCTAAGAGCTCTTCCCCTGCGGATGGGTTTTGCAGAAAGAGCTCTGAATGAGAGGCCAGAAGATCTGATTGGGAATTGCAGCCGCGTGCAGTTACAGGAACATCCCTGCCTGTGGGTCTGCGTTTCTGGGCCTGCGACTGTGAGCTGGGTAACACCCGTCCACGGGGGGCTGGGGACTGAGTTGGTGGCAGAGTGCTTTGCCTAGCACGAGTGAGGCCCCAGGTTCCATCTCTAGCGCTGAAAACAAGATCCTATCAGCCAGGAGTACTTCCGGCTGCAAGCAGAGAGCTCGTGGCTAATGGTGGGCGACTGCGCTGCCTCAGTTTTCTTGGTGCTTTTCCGGGTTTAGCGTGGGACGCTGACTTGACTGCTTGATCCCTCTCGGTCCTGGCGGACTGGGATGGTTGTCACCAGAACCAGCAGTCCCTGAACTCTTAGGGACAGTGGTGGTAGCTGGGTGAGGTCAACCCTCAGTGCTGTCCTCTCAGAGCCACGCAGGCGCCGGCACCCTTCAGACGGGCCACCTGCGGCCTCCTCAGTCACAGTTTCACTGTCACTATCTGATTCGCCAGAGGCAGGGCTGAGGTGGGGCTCAAGCAGGATTATTTACCAAGGAAGCGCCCTTCAGAGGAGCCAGTGAGGGCGACCAGGATTGGGCAGGGGAAAGGCAGAAACAGGGGTGCGGTATGGGCCGGGGTTTGGAAGCAGCCAGGTCCTCCTGCAGGCCGGGCCTTGGGATGTGCACCCGTCTGCCGGCCATGGCTGCGGGCTGTCCCGTGCTGTGGGTGTCGCCTTCCAGGCCCCCAGCACACGGAGCTTCCTGGCTGAGCCGGGGCTGCCGTGACTACAGGGTGTCCGCAGTGTTTGCCGCCTGCTGCCCGCCTCGATGCCGCCAGGGCTTGTCTTTCCGAGGGGAGGACTTGCCTGGTCATCTCAGGCCGACTTCCTGTGCGCCCTCCTTGGCCGGGGCAGAGTGGCCGCCCTCCCCAGGGTGCGTTGGCAAGGGTGATGGGATTACTGTGGGTGGCACAAACTCCAGGCCTGGGCGCAGTGCATCTTGGCCAGATGTGGGGCCTTTCAGTGGGGAGCAGGGGGTGGTGTTCATGCAGCAACCAGCAGTGTCTGTCCCCAAGTGCCAGGGCTGTCTGGAAGTGACAGTCTGCAGACACAAGTGGCGACGATGTATTTCCTCTCTAGATCTTTTCCCAGTCTGGCCATCTGTAGCTGCCCCAGGCCCCTGGAGTGCGGCCTAGTGCCGCTCTTGCGTTGGCAGGCGGAGGAGCTGACCCAGATCTCTATTTGGGGGTCTGCTTCCAATGGGCCTCTCTGTTTATTCTCTGACCGAGGCAACCCAGTGCTCACGGCTGCAGATGGGGTCAGAACCTCTACTGTGGAAGAAAGTTGGGCCTGCTCCCCATACTGCTGGAAAACTCTTATGTTAGCTGCAAAAGACCCTTGAACTTCTAAAGTGAGGCACTTCCCATTTCACTGTCTTCCTGCTATCTGTCTCTATCTCTGTACTGAAGGTGGAACCCAGGGTCTTCCCACTGGTTACATCCCCAGTGCCCCCCTTATTTCTTATTTTGAGACAGGGTCTCACTAAGTCACTAAGTTGTCCAGGCTGGGCTTGAACTTGCAGTCTCCTGCCTCAGCCTCCCAGAGTGCTGGGATTACAGGTGTTCACCACAGTGCTTGGCCTACTGCATTTTGTTTATGAATAAACAGATGCTATTCATTGAGGAACCATTTTGGTTACTGATTAAGTGGAGACCCTTAAGAATGATTCTAAGCCAGCCCAGTGGCACATGCCTGGAATCCCGTTTTCTTGGGAGGCTGAGGCAGGAGGATCAAAAGTTTGGACCCAACCTGGGCAGCTCAGTGACTTAAAGAGACTCTGTCTCAAAATAAAAAGTAAAAATGGCTGGGGATGTAACTCAGTGGTGGAGCACTTGCTTAGCATTCATGCTGTTCCAGGTTCAGTCCCAATTTAAAACAAAAACCCCGGCAGCCCTTCTTTTTTGGGTCCCTTATGTATATAATAGCAAATGTGGTAGAATGGCAGTGGCTACCAAGTCACCCTGCCCCAGGATCTAGTTCTGCCATTTTCTAAAAATCAAGGCCAAGGGGCTGGGGATTTAGCTCAGCGGCACTGCGCCTGTCTGCTAAGTGCAAGGTCGTGAGTTCGGTTCCCAGTACCGGAAAAAAACCAAAACAAAACAAAACAAAAAAAAATCAAGGCCAGGTGGTGGCTTAAATCTATTTCAGCAGAGCGAGCTTGGACATTTACAGGTCGTCTGGGTGAAGAGCATGTTCTTTTCTGAACAGCAAATGAAAAGACTGTCTTGTGCTCTGTTTTATGGTTGCAAACACCAATTCCACAGTAGCTTTTCATCCCTTTAATTCAAAAGAAATGGAGGTTCCAACTGGTGGGAGTGTCTCCAAGTAGAATTCATCAGGTGACCTAGGAGTGGGGACCGTCTGCCCACCACCACCGCCATCACCTTGGGGTCAGTGTATGGGAGTGCTCCTCACCAGACTCACCACTGTGCCTGTGATGGAGACGGTCTGCGTGTGTGTGTGTGTGTGTGTGTGTTGTGGACTTACTGATCCACTTAAGGTTTATTGAGCACCTGCTATGTGCTCAGGGCTGTCCTGCTGGGGCACTGCTGAGAAGGTCCCTGCCGTCATGGACCTGACTGCCCAGTCGTAGACATGTGCGTCTATACATGTGGCTTGGTCATAAGGGCTTTAGGGTAGGATAAAGAAGGGCCTGTGGGGATTTAAAATAGTGATTTAATTTTTATTCACAGATGCTGAGGTCAGCAGATCTGAAGATGACCGAGGAAGGGTGGAGAGTGGTACCCAGGAGGTGGTCACGGCCTGGCCGCAGAACAGGGTTGCACAGGGGACGCCGGGGTCAGTTAGGAGGTGGGAGGGGGCCTGGCGTCCAGGTCGGGAGCCTTGACTGTGGAAGAACAGGTGAAGCAGGCGAGCTGGCCGAGGGCTGGCTGATCTGAACAACACCACAGCTCTGTGCCACAGGGGCTCCCAGTTGCAGGGTGCCTGGCCTCCAGAAGGTGGGGGCAGTGGACAGCATTTGGGAGTGTGAGGGCCCCACACAGGAGTGGTTGGGTGTGGGTCTGTGTGTGACAAGCCGGCTCCAGGGGAGTCACTCCAGCCCTGAGAGGAGCAGGCCTAGGGTCACAGCATCAGGATACAGAAAATAAAATGATAGTTGCTATCCTGGGGCCATGCTGGGAATGCAGTCTTTTATATAGCACTCAGGGGTCAGAAGAGGCCTCTCTGCTTAAGTGACATCTAAGCAGAATGAGGAGCAGGAACAGGTAATGTGGGGAGAGTCTCTTGGGCTGAAACAATAGTAAGTGCAAAGGGCCTGAGGTCTGTTCAATGAATAGTTTGTGCAGTCATAAAGGAGACACAAAGGGGATTCAAGGAGACCAGACTAGCAAGGTGGGGTGAGGAGGAAAGTCACTGGTGGTGGTGGTGCGGGGCGGGCTTGGGCACTGAGCAGAGATGAGCAGGATCTGACTCAGGTCCTAACAGGGTCCCCTGCAGCAGTGTGCAGGATAGGTGGGGAGAGGAAGGGGAGCCGGGGGACCAGGGAGGAGGCTGAAACAGCTCAGGGGAAGAGGAAGGGGGTGCACCTGAGGGCCAGGTCTGACCAGACCAGAAGGGGCAGGGCGAGGGATAGAGGCAAGAAGCACTGGTATCAGGAGGAATACTTTCTTAGGAGGAAAACGGATGTGAGGCCATTTTAGTAAATGGTATTCGGAGCAAAAATAATGCCTGTATCCCTGTCGTCCCACATGTCATGGTTTAGATCTAAAGTGTGCCTCAGACGGCTTGTGAGTTCAGAGTCGGGGATTTGGAAGATGATTGGAGCACGGGGCACTATACGCACAAGTAGGTTCATCCATTGATGGGTGACTGGCGGAAGGTGCTGTTCGGAGGTGGGCCTGGTGGAGGTGGGACGCTGGGGCATGACCTGGAAGGCATATTCTCGTCCCAGCTCCTCCCTCCTGTCTCTGCTTCCTGGTCTCCATGAGGTGAGCAGTTTCCCTCAAGGGCCTCCTACTATGTTGTTCTTCCTTGGCACCAACTAACCATGGACCGACCCACTGGAAACCATAAGCCCAGATAAACCTCGCCTCCTTTAGGTTGCAGGTGTTGGCTATTTTGTCCCAGCAGTGGGACAGCTGACTAATATACCATGTGTGTGGAAATATTTTATTCCCTTGTGTTTTCATTGCAAATTGTCAGCAACTCTAGGGCAGGGATTGGGACTACTGGAGTCCTCCTTTGTTTAGTTGCTTGGTCCCCAGCTGCTACAGCAGTGGGGGATTAGCAGAGGGGCTCTGGAAACCCACATCTGAGCTTTCTGTCTGCAGGATTTCCCACAGGGCATGTTTCTCTGCCAGGTGCTCCCCTCACGACTGGTGGAATGTCTGGTTTCTCAACGACTGGGCCTTTGCACTGAAGGCTGTTCTCCACCTCACCCTGGCCCCAGAAACTCTTTCCCAGGTCATCCTTGTGCTCACCAGCATCGGAAATGATTTTTTCTTTTAGCCAAGTGTGTAGCTCAAGGCTTTTCCCTAGTACTGAAAAAACTTGCTTGTCCAGTTCACATGTTTTTCACTCTGTATCACTGTGTGGACTCCACAGGGGCAAGGGTCTGGTCCACATTTCCCACCCTGACCCCCTCCAGGGGGAGTAGGGCACAGCGCCCCAGTAGCCCCAGGGTTAGGCGCTAAAAGCTCCTACGTGCACCTCCTGGAGAGCCACCCTTGGCAAAGCAGCGCTGCCTGGCCAGGATTCGCCAGGCGGTCAGGACAGGATGCCAGTCAGGTGAGGCAGGTGAGGCCCAGTCACACAAGGACAAAGATGCATCCTGCTTATATCTGTGGCATCTTGTCCGGACTTCCTGTTTCTTAACTAGGGCCATGGGTGCCTGAGCCCCGACCCCTGTGATGGTCAGCCTCTTTGTTCCCAAGTGAGGTCTTGAATTGTGGCTGGTCTGTTCCTTGGCCTTGGTCACCAGGACAAAACATAATTTGCGAGGTGAGACCAGAAGTCCTGCCCATGTCCTGGCCTCTGTCATCATCTTGGGGTCAGCGGGGCAAGGAGCCTTCCCTCCCGACGCTGCCCCGCCCAGGGCTCCCTCCTCCACTCCAAGCGGCATGTGCTGTTTCACTCCCTGAATTGTTAAGTGCTGCATTTTATGCTGTCTGCTTAGCATTTTCAATTGCCTCTGATTCTCAGCCACTTTCAAGGGGGGAAAAGGTCATTCCATAAATCTGAGGTGCTAGCGCGGTGATGGCAGTGTTGGACCGCTCTGACACCCCCTGTGCGGGGAACGGAGAGCTAATTAATCGGAAAACTTACATTGCAGGCATGCGTCCCTGGAAGCAGGTGTTGGGGGCCTTTAATGAGGCCATTGTGACTTGAATGGTGTTTCCACTCCGCCTCACCGTGGGTATAGGTGCTGGCAGCTGTGCCCCGAGGAAGGGAGGGAGAGGGACGTGCTCCACAGACCCCGTCTCCAGAGTGCAGGCCTTTCTGAACTCCAGCCCTCTCTCCTGTTTTCCTCATTCTTTCATTTTGTGCACTGAGCACCTATTAGGCTCCAGCCCTGCCGGTATGAGGTGCTGGGAGTCAGTGGTGAACCCTACTGCGGAGTCCCTACCCGTGTAGCCCAGCCTGCTTATTCAGGAGACGGATCGAGACAGACCGAGACGGATCGTAGCTGAGCAGGGAGAGGAGATTGCGGCAATCCCAACCCACGAAGATCAAGCAGGGTAGGGAGGGACTGGCGGTGGAGGTGTTGGTGTGGGCTCTTCGGAGAGGTGGTCACGGGGGCCCCTCTGGAGAGAAGATGGGAAGGAGCCAGCCATGCAGTGTTCTGCAGGAACAGCATTCCCAAAAAACTGGGCTGGGTGTGTCTGAAAGGCAGCAGGGAGGCTGCTGCGCCGGGTGTGGTGAGTAAAACAGGTGAGGTGGGGGAGAAGCTGGAGGGGAGGGCAGCGCGGGACACTCGGGGTGCTGGGCTTTATTCTCCCTGTCAAGGTCAGCCCTGAGGATGCAGGTAGGGAGCCCTGCGATCAGGCTTGTTTCAGAACGTGTTTCCGTGGCCGGCTGGACGAGGTGTGGGCCGCAGCTAGGCCAGGGGTGTGGGATGAAGGAAGTGGGGGACGAGCTTGTGAGTGGGACGTGGGTGCCGGGCACCAAGGGGAGGACCCTGGTCCCTGCCATCTTCTGCGTCACCTACGCCACCCGAGGTCAGGAGCGGCGCAGGCCGGGCAGGCGCTGCTTGGATCTCTGGGGGCGCAGGGAAGCCTTTGGGGGCTGCAGTGCCCTCAGACTGTCTCAGGGAGCGTCAGCCCCATGGTGGGTGCAGATTCCGATTTGGGTAAGTGAAGTGAAGCACTTTTTCTCGGATCAAATACATGCGGAGTAGAATAACAACGCATCCTGTTATTTACAGATGCAACGAAGTGATTTTACCTTTGAACTCAACTCCTCAGGGTGCCGTGGGGGAAGCTTTGGGAAACAGGCCTTGAGATGTATGGGAGAACAGGGGACAGAAAAGAAGGAAAAAGGCTGACGGGGAAGAGGGGCAAAGCCAGAGAACGAAGGAGATGCAAGAGAGGGAAGGCGTATTTACTGGCAATTTCTTACAGGTCTGTTGTCCCCCTCTTCTTCCAACCCCAGGGGGTCCTGGCGGCTACACAGCTCAGTGACAAACCCTCGGTTTCTCTCTTATGAGTGCCCTTGCGTGGAAGGCGTTTCCTTTCTCCCTCACCTGCATCCCTTCCCCAGAACATGATCCATGCGAGAGACAGATGCGTAGCCGCGCTGTTCTCTCCAGACAGCTCCACCAGGCCGGCTGCGCTGGGAGGACTATGTACACGCAAGCAGCGAAAGCCCTTGCCTTACTGGGGGAACGGACATGGGGCTGGGACGGTGGGGAGAGCAGCCACCGCTGGCCAGCGCCAGCCCAGCTTGCCTCTCCCTTCTGGACCTCTGTGATGGGTGGCGGATGTCCCTCCTGCGGGTGGCTCTGGGCCGTGCTCAGAAGCGGCTTGTCCCTTCGGAGTCTCCCATGGCGGATGGCAGTAGCGTCAAGCCGCGGGTGGCAGGCAGGGTGGGGGCGCCCTTTGGGTTCAGCTGTTGTCTCTGGTGTCCGAGGAGCCACTTCCAAACAGGATGTCACTGTCCTGGGATATGCCGCTCAGCTGCGACTTGGTTTTGATGAGGAACTGGGCCCTGCGGTACATCACCCGCTCCTGCTCCTGCTTGAGCTCCAGGTAGGAGCGGGAGAAGGTGTGGAAGATGGAGGTCACCGGGAAGGCCATGAGCAGGATGCCGCTGAGGATGCTGCTCAGCGCCACCACCTGGCCGGGCGTGCTCCGGGGCACCATGTCTCCATAGCCCACAGTCGTCATGGTGATGACGGCCCACCAGTAGCAGGCAGGGATGCTGGTGAACTCGGGGCTGTCTGCCATCTCGTTCTCGATGACGTAGAGGAGCGGGGCGAAGAGGGCGATGGCCACGCACAGGAAGAGCAGCAGCAGGCCGAACTCGCGGGTGCAGCGGCGAGCCGTGAGCCCCAGCGTCTGCAGCCCCAGCGAGTGGCGGGCCAGCCGCATCACGTAGAGGATGCGCAGCGCCCGCAGCACGCGCAGCACCAGCCCCACCTTGTCCAGGTAGCTGTTGCCCGAGCCAGGCTTGCGGCGGCCCGAGGCGGCGCCGTCCACCAGCAGGGTGACGTAGTAGGGCAGGATGGCCACCAGGTCGATGAGCGTCAGCGGGCTCCGCAGGAAGGCGAACTTGCTGGGCGCCTGGGTGAAACGCAGGAGGAACTCCAGGGAGAACCAGCCCACGCACACCGACTCCACAATGAAGACGTTGTAGCACATCTGGGAACACTGGCCCTGGGGGAGAGAGCGCAGTCAGGGGGCCCCCAGTGAGCCAGCAGGCTGCTCTGCCCTGGGCAGGGCGCTGGGAAGAAAAAGGACCTGGGCCCGGTGCACCTGCCTCTCCTCGTCACTCGGCCTGGGGTCGTCTCTCCTGTGGTGTCCACTCCCAGGCCCAGGGCACTGATCACCATGTCTACACTGGCCATCCTCGTCTCTTCCTCCAACTCTGCCCTCAGCCCTGACCTCCACGGGCCCCACCCGCTGCCTCCTAACATTCACTGCGGGTATCTGCCAGGGGACCCAGCCACTCTGGTCTCTGCCCTCACCTCTCTGTGGGTTCACTCATCTCCACGGTCCATTTTCTCACACAGAGGTGTCCTAAGACCATTAATAGGATCCTAGTCTTCCTTGCTGGGGACCTTCCCCAGCCCAGAGAACAACTGACGAGTTCCCCGCTGCACGGTGCACATGGTCCATCCATCCGTCCATTCACCCCTCTGTCCATCCACCCTTCCACTCTCCTCTCCCCTCGTTGCTCACCTGCTCCACCTCACAGACTCCCTTGGCATTCCTCCGACACCCCGGCTCACCCTCAGCTCTGCCTGGACACTCTGCCTTCTGAGGGCCCCTCCCCCAACATCCACCTCACTCCTGCCTTCTCCTCCTCCAGCTCTGCGCCTCCGCCATCCCTGCTCAGGCGGACCCATGACCCCTCTTCCTTAGGAGTCTCTCCCTCTTGTACCCCAGCCAGCCGTATATTCTGTTGTTTATTCTCAGAGCTTATCACATTTTCCAGGCTCTGTGAGTTCCGTGTTTCTCATGCTCATGGGCTGTCCCCACCCCCCAGCTCCTCACCCCCTGCCCCAGCAGCTCACAGCCCCAAAGGGCAGGGCAGGCCACCAGCTGTGCCCAGTGCCAGGCCCGACACAGGGCAGGTGTATGCCGCATGGTTGCACAGAATGAATAGAAGAAGCGTGTGTATGTGTGTGTGTTACTCCAAACCATGAGGGGCCAGGCAGGCAAAGGAAGTGGGGAGCTGAGGGGAGGGGAGACCCCACGGGAGAGCCCCTAACTCTGCCCTAGGGGGATTTAGGTTAAGGCTGCCTTGAAGCTTTTAAGAGAAGCTGGAAATCTGCAGTTGTATGTGAAATCCCCTGGTGATAACTGTTGGTTAAATAGATAAAATGTTGATTCCAGTGCTGGTGATAAAATGCAACATAGAGAAAACATAGCACGGGCCAGGAAACAGCTTCACACTGGACCTGGCATGCGAGCTGCTAGCCTCCCCATCGGCCTGCAGGACAACTGGACAGTAGACAGTTCTCAGCAGACTTGGGCCCCAGCCTTAAAACAGCCTTTGGCAGCGGGGAGAGGTACAAATGTCCCCACCTGTGGCCCCTCCTAGGCTCTTGGGCACAGCTGGGCTCCACCATCCTCCTCTACTAGGTCTCAAGGAATGTGCTTGAGGCTGGAGGCATGCATGAATTTTTAGAGCTTTGCTGTCCAAGTCTTCCTGGACCGCACCCTCGGAGCAGCTCCAGATGCCCGGCCCTCTCACACAGAGCCCGCTTGCTAGGTACCTCCTACTTACGGTCACGGGGCTGGGGTGTCACTACCCCACCCAGCCCCAATAGACTCGAAGCTGCCTGAGATTGAAGGACTTGTCCCGGTCCCCCTGGTCCCCCTGCAGTGCGTGCAAGCGGAAGGCACTTGGCTGTGTGCACAAGAAGCAAATGCAGTGATGTATCCCACTGGCCCGCAAATGAGGCTGCAAAGCAGCAAAGTTGACTGAATCCTATAAAAGGCCAGGAATTAAGAAGCAGTATCAGGGCTGAGGGTGTAGCTCAGCGGCAGAGGACTTGCTATGTGTGCAAAGCCAGCGCCCTGGGTTCCATCTCTGGCACCACAAAGAGAAAAAAGGGAAGGAAGAGAAGGGAAGGGAAGGAAAAGAAGGGAAGGGAAGGAAGGGAGGAATCTATTTGTGTGAAGTCCCTGGACTGCCAGCCAGATCTCACAGGGGAGCGACACCCCTTGGGCAGCAGTTACGTGTGAACCTGACGGCCAGGACTTCCTATACACACACGTGCCAGGCACTATTCCAGCCACCTCACACAGGCTTGGTCACTCAGCCTCACGACACTGCTCACAGCTCCCCCTGACAGGTGGAGGTACAGAGGCACAGAGAGGCCTAGAAACCTCTCCCTGGTTACACAGCCAGAGTGGGCAAGATGGGATTCCACTCTAGGTTGCCTGGCTCTTGCCCTGACCTGTAGGCTATTCAAAAGTTCATTCTGTGGGCTGAGTGCTATTTTCTTAATATCCTTTTAAAAAATTCTAAAAACTGTGCTAGCAAATCTCTGTAGGTTAAAAATGTAACAATCAACCACTGCTGCCTCCTCCATCATCTCTGCGTGTGCAGTCCTCGCCCGCTGAGCACTTCCAGTGCTAGGCCAGGGGTGCATGTGAAACATGTAGCCTACGCAGGGTGTACAGCCCGTGCCTCATAAACGCTGGCTGCCGTGATACCTGTCTTCAGTTCACAGTGCCATACTTAGTTCTCAAAAGTCTGTATAATTTGGTCCTGTCTGAGACTTTCTGGTTTTTTAAAAACTTGCTTCTAGGGGTCACATCTCAAAGAACCAGGGGTCTAGTACATATCAAGCCTGAACCAGGGGGGGTGTACCCCCTATGGCCTCAGGTCCCTCTCGACAGGACTGCAGGCCAGGGGATGGAGATTTTATATATATACGCTGGGAGTGAACCTAGAGCCTTGTGCTTGCTAAGCAAGTACTCTACCACTGAGCTACATACTGAGCCCCGACCTTATAATTTTTAAGAGGAACTTAGAGCAGGCATTTTAAAATGGACCCTTCCCCTTTTTGTGTGATGCTGGGATTGAACCCAGGATCTTTACCCTGAGCTACACCCGCAGCCCTTTATCATTTTTCAATTTTGAGACGTACAGAGTGAGATTCTGTCTCAAAAAAACCAAAAACCAAAAAAAAAAAAACAAAAAAAAACCAAATTTTGAGACAAGGGCTTGCTAAGTTGCTAGGATGTCCACACTGGCTTGGAATGTGCCATCCTCCTGCCTCAGTCTCCCAGGCTACTGGGATTATAGGCATGCACCACCACACCCAGCTAACACCTGCCTGTTACAGGCTGGCAGCCAAGTCAGAGTTCTGGGAAATGCTGGCAGGCCAACCGCAGACCTCTGTGGGGTTACACTGGGTCCCCAGGCTGCCATGGGGATGCACATTTCCACGTGTAAGAACAGACTGTGGATTCCGTCCAGCTGGGCTTGGAGGCTGTGATGCCTGCCTCAGTGTGCTCCTCTGCCAAGTGGGTGTGGGAACACCTCCCCCTCAGGGTTACTGCAGAATTCGTGGGGAAGATAAAGTGTGGGCGGAGCAGCAGCCCGCTTAGGCTCCCGAGACCGCTGGGTATGGGAGCTCCGACGGAGCGCACAGCCGCGTCAGGCCTGCTAGTAAATACATGCATTCTTCTATTTAACGCAGACAAGCTCCCCATCTGAGGACACGTACCTATCGATAAAAATCATTTTCCAGACCTAGAAAGGGAGTCCTGGATATTATTATGCAAGGGAATTAGGTCGGTTGAGAAAAGGCTCCAGTGGGCGGGATGGGTATCGATGACCCGAGGACTGTACTTAGCTCAGGGCCAGGCACCTGGTCAGCTCGTCACCCACACACCTGACGACACAGGCAGAGTGCCTCTTCTGCCCTGCATGCCATTGTTTTTTTTTTTGGTTTTTCTCCGGTACCGGGAACCGAACTCATGACCTTGCGCTTGCCAGGCAGGCGCTTTGCCGCTGAGCTAAATCCCCAGCCCCTTCTGCATGCCATTCTGGAGAGCTGGGGACATAGCAGAGCCCAGGACAGTCACACAGGAACAAGGTGGCAGAGAACATGCATGCAGTCACACTAACACACAGCACGAGGCCAGGAGGGCCCGGGACGCTATCTGGCTGCCTGCAGTCAGGGAAGCCCTGGAGCAGGTGCCAGTGGCGGGCTCAGGGGTGCAGAGAGGGAGGGATTCAGCAGACCGATCCCGCTCCCTCACCACAGCCAGGCTCTTACCTGCTCCTCCTCCTCCCGCAGGCTGGGCAGGGTGCTGACCGAGAGGTTGACCGCGGTGACGGTGACAAAGAGCACCGACAGGCAAGCGAACACCTTGCCCGGCAGCCCCGAGTGCGGCCTCTCCACCATGTCGCGAAGCCTCCGCATGCAGCGGCCCAGGCGGCCCTCGCCCGTCGCGGGGCCCTCGCTGTCGCGGGCCTCGCTGTCCAGCGCGTCTTCCTCGTCCTCCCGCTCCACCATCTCAGCGAACTCCTCGATCTTCTGCAGGTAGCGGCGCTTGCAGCAGCCGTCCAAGTGGTCCTCAGCGATGCCCCAGTAGAGCAGCTCCTCCTGGAAGGAGAGCGCGCACATCTCGCGCAGCAGCCGCAGCTTCCCGGCGCGCAGGAAGGTGAGGATGGTGCCGAAGGCCCCGGGGTTGCGGTCGAAGAAGAACTCGTTGCACGTCACATCGTAGTCGTCACACACGTTGAGGATGTCGTCGAAGTTGGTGCAGGCCTTGAGCTGGCCCAGCCGCGTCATGGGGAACTCGTCCAGCGTGGTCCAGGGCAGCGAGTACTTGATGCCGCCCACGTTGATGATGATCTGCCGCCGGCGGTCCCCAGGGCCCGGGATGCCTGGGCGCGGGGTCTCCTGGGCGCTCAGCCTCTGCGCGCGCCGGTAGAACACACCCTTGAGCGCCTGGCTCTGCGGGAAGAAGGCCGGGTGGAAGGAGGCGTCCGAGGCGCAGCTCAGGGCGCTGTAGTCGTAGTCCGAATTGTCTCCAGGTAACAGGGTCATTTTGAGCCTTTACATCCCTCTGGGACCTGGCGTGGAGGAGAAGGGAGAAAGACCCTCAGCGACCCCACGTGGATCCGCGGGATACTCACTGCTGTGGACTTACGCCCGAACCTCGGTGTGATGGGATGAGGAGGTGCAGGCTTCCAGGGTGGCCAAGGTGGATGAGGACAGGACAGTGGGCAGGGGGCTTGTGTCCCTAGAAAGGGAAGGGACTCTGAGCTCCTTATGGCCTCCTGAGGACACAGTGAGGAACTGGGAGACCATAGTCTGCTGACACCAGCTCTCCAACTCCCAGCCTGCAGAACCATGAGAAAGAAATGCCTGTGGTTTCAGGAACCCTTGGTACTCTGTGACTAAGACACTGGCCTAACAATCAAAATAGCAACAGGATCGCTTGGCCTTGCCTCACTTTATAGTCCTGGTCCTAACTCACGTATGCCAGGGGAGGGGCTGGGCGCCACTGTATGCAGGCAGCACTTTAGGCACCAAGCCGTAGCAGTTGCAGAATCAGACGTGACCTCCAAGAGCTGACACCCCGGTGGACCATCTGGCCAAACCTGCACTGTTATTTACTTAACCCTGTATTTTAAATGGACCCAACTTGTACTTATTTATGTTTGGAATTTATTTAGCTTGAAAAGGCATTTAGTATAGACCACTGGTTTCTAACTAGGGTTGAGGATTTACCCCTAGGACACGAAGCAATGCCTGGAGGCATTTTTTATTTTCATGACTGGCGAATGCCACTGCTATCTAGTAGGGAGAGGCCGGGGATCTGCCAAATGTCCTAGAGTACACGACAGCCCTCTACACCAGAATGGTCTGGTCCCAGACATCCGTGACACCCAGGTGGAAAAGCCCTGGTATAGGATCGAGATACACAGGTTTTGGAGCCACACGGCCTGGGCGAGTTGCTTAAATGGGTGTAGTTCTATTTCCTCAGTATAAAATGGGAGCAGCTACGTGACCCACTTCACAGGATTATTGAGAGCGTTAAGCGAATCGTGTCTATGTGAGCACTTCATGAAGTGCGCAGCCGGGCACCTGGAGGGTACTCAGTTGGGACTCCTCTTCAAAGGACGCCTTGCATTGTCACCATGAATGGCAAATAGCTGTCACTTGCTGTAACAGACAATTACCAGAACAATGCCTTGTTTGCACAGGCTTCAGCAGATGTCACCTTGAGGCTCACGGGGTGCACTGGACAGCCATGCTTGCCCCCCTGGGAATCCTCCCTCGGCTCTTCCAGTGAACCCCGCAGCCCCCGCCGCCTTACACTGGTGCATTAACCTCCAGGCACTCGCCGCCCACTTTTAGAATGATCTGTGTGCAAGCCCGGCTCCTTCATGAGAGTTCATGCTCCCTGCGGCGTACAGGGCCTTACTCATGTCTGAGTCCCAGGGCCCAGCAGCACAAGAGCTCCAAGAAAAGCCTGCTGAATGAGTATACTTCCCGCGCACGAGGCCCACAGCGTGAGCGCACTTCTGGGAGACTGAGGTCAAGATATCGGTCACATAGACGCCTTTCTTCTCATCCCCAAAGATAACGGGTAGCGCTGCTAGAATGTGATACCAGCTCACCAACTGGGTTTGTTAATGAGTATTTTGCTTGGCTCGAAGAAGTTTCTGAAAATTGAGGAATTTCATGTAAAAATCCGTACTCTTGGCTTCTTTGAAAAATCAGAATATTTGGCAACACGAGGCCCCAATTTCAACTGAGAAATGGCTGTCCCCTCTGGGCAAGCTCTGATCGAACGCAGCTCTCAGTCCTCCCCGCCGGCTTTCTAGCACCCACTCTATTCACTCCTCTGTCTTCCCTCCTGGCCCTGTAGGCACTTGAGTGTGAGCTCTCAAGATGATCCAACAGAGCTCCCAGAATGAGGCTGAGGCACAGAGAAGTTGTAAGAGCCAAATACTTTGCTTTTTAAAATTACCACCCTCCCTGCAGCCCACCCCCTAGTGGGAGCAAATGGTAGTGCCCTGTTCATGGATTTCCAAATGGCAACCCACTCCTAATCCTGGAGTGGCAGTAGGTGCCAGGGACATGTCCAGGGAAAATACACACACACACACACACACACACACACACACACACACACATGCACACGCACACACGCACACACACCTGTAAGGATGCGAAACTTCACATGAGCCGGGGTGGGGGAGAGTCCCCACTTGAAGGGGGCTCTTTCCTAACCAGGGTGGTCACACTCCATGCACTCATCTTTGGGAAAGCTAGTTCACAGATCGGGATTTGGAAAACCGGGGTACACCTGTGTTTGAAATAAAAATGGTTGGGTTTTAGAGTGTTGAGAGTGTTTTTCACTTCACCTAAAATTGGAACCCGTCTCCCGAGGCAGAGCCTGCCAGCATCCCTCGGAGGCGTGGGAATAATCCCTCTTAGGCACTGCACGGAGCGATACCGCTTTTCAGTTCTGCTGCTTTAGCGTTGCCACCAAAGACAAGAGAAAAAATGACATTCTGTTTGGCAAGAGAGAGAAGTAAAGGAACATCCTTCTTCCCCCAAGTCCCAGAGGGCGCCTGCTGTGAAACCCCCGCCTGTAATCACCTCTTCTCTCCAGGAATCTCTTCCTTCCACCTCCCTGTGGCCCTCCCGCAGGAGGCCGGCAGCTCGCCGCTCCCCTGCCTCACACCTGTCTCCCGTGCTTCCCGTGCAGAGGCACCCTGTCCCAGCGGCCGCTTGGACTCAAGGGGCCGCTCTCCTCTGCCTGCAGGGATGGCAGTAGGCACCGCAGGGACCGTTCCCTCCAAGCCAGAGGGCCTGGAAGGGTCACAGGCTGGGATTTGCTAAATGCAGAACAGGCACGTTTCTGCCTGGCCTCGAGTCCTGCCAATACCCAATCTGACGTGTGCGGGTGGCCGGCCTGGCATCGCTAGACCAGTGAAGTTCATCCACCAAACAGGCCCTGAGGCAATAATGTCTCTTTTCATCCAGCCCGACCTCCACCCAGAAGTCAGGCACCTCCTTCTCTGTGGTTCTACAGCACGGTGGGCCCCCCTGCTTTTGCCTCAGGGGGCTGTGGATGATTGGATGCCTGGGTGGAAGATGTTACTTGGGACAGAGGCTGTGGGGGTGGAGGCGAGGGGAAGTCCTGTGGGAGCTGTCATTCATTCATTTATTCATTCATTCATTCCTCCCTCAACACGCCCACATGCTGGACGCTGTGCTGGGACTGGGGACACGGAAGGTTAAGACAGATCTCCAGCCTGCACTTGTGGAGCTGACTTTCTAGCGGGAGACAGTCTCCGAATAAGTACACTGATGTCTGCTGGTTGTAGTGAGCGCTGTGCTGGAACAGTACAAGGTGACAGATGGAGAATGGCATGGGGTGGGGGCCATACTAGCTGCAGGCGTCAGGCTGAGCTTCCTGGAGGAGGGGACATGGGGCTGAGCCTCGTGGATGGAAGGAGCTTACCCTGCGCACGCTGGGGGGGTGTGTTGCCAAGCAGAAGGAGCAGGAAGAGCTTGTTCCCTGACTGAGAGGGGTTTGCATGGTGAAGACCAGAGAGGAGGCGGAGAGGCTGGGCCAAGTGAGGGCGGCAGGTGGGAGGAGATGCACTGGCGTCAGCTGGTTCCTCGGCAAGGAGCAGGGCTTTCATCTGTGGGGTGGTTCTGTGTCAGGGGCTGACTGTGGAGCTGGGAAGCCGTGGTGCAGGAGACAGCAACCCAGTGTGTGAGAGGACGGAGACCTGAGGAGTTCGGGATGAACTCTGGAGGAAGAGCCAGCAGCACTTGCAGAGGGACGGGGCTTATGGTGAGAGGAGAAAAGAATGGGGTGATTCAAGCATACCATCTGCCAAGGTAGAGGCTGGGAAAGGCACGGCAAGGATTCACTAGCACCTCCACAAAGGGGCGTGGCTTTGCCACCCCTAGTGTTTTTTGTCTTTTTTTTTTTTTTTTGTTGGGGTTTTTCTCCGGTACCGGGAACCGAACTCATGACCTTGCGCTTGCCAGGCAGGCACTTTGCCGCTGAGCTAAATCCCCAGCCCCCATGTCTTTTTTTTTTTTTTTTGTCTTTTTGAGACAGGGTCTCACTATGCAGTTCAGGCTGGGCTTGAGCTCACTTTGTAGCCCAGGCTGGTCTCGAACTTGCAGTGATCCTCCTGCCTCAGCTTCCTGAGTGCTGGGATTACAGGCATGTGCTACCATGTCTGGCTGCCACCCCTAGTTTTAGCTCAGGCAGGCCTCTGGCCTCCAGAACTGTGAGATTAGTTGGGGTTGTCTTCAGTCACTTAGTTGGTGGTAACAGGAAATAAACAGAGGAGATGGCTGAGGTAAAGCTGGCTCTCTTCCCCTAGCAGACACGTGGTGAGTACCCCACACTACAGAGGCAGAAGAGCCCCCTGGCTCTGAACCCAGGAGACCTGGGTTCAAAGCCAGTTGCTTTGACTTTGGGCAAATTGTAGAGTTGGCTGAGACTTTGCTTTCTTGTCTGTAAAATGGAGATTAAAAAATAGCTCCTACCTGGTTGAGTTACAGTGAGGACAAAAGCAGATGACAGAGTGATGCCTGACATACAGTGAGGCCTCAGTGGACACCAGCTGTACTGCTATTAGCTGAGGAGCGTCTGTCCCTGCCCTCACCTGCCAGCAAAGGGTGTTTCTGCCTCTGACCCGACCTTCTGCAAGATGAACCCAGCATCACCTGTACCCACAGCCCAGGGTTGGAGGGGTGCAGTGTAATGCTGCCCCCTGGGAAAGCCATCAGTGGTCCTGAAGAAAATGAAGGATGTTGTTGCCCTAGGACCCAGGAACCCCACTCCTGGGTCTATTTCTCAGACCCAGGGTGACTGGGATAATGGCAGATGTTGTCAATGATAAAATTATTTGTAATCAAATCTTTGACGCAGGCTTTGCTTTGGGGAATCAGATCTAAGCAAGAAGCAAGCTATGAGAATGTTGTCCTGTGTTGCTGTGGCACCAGGAGGTCCCTAGTGTCCATCCCCAGGGAGTGCATGAGTGAGGCATGGTAAATGCAGATGTGGAATCCTGCAGATGGCTCGGAAGCAGAAGCCATGAATGAAATGCAGGCTTAGCAACACATTTACATCTTAAAAATATGGAGCCAAGTGGAAGAAAAAACTGAGTACAAAGGAGAAAAACAAGCACAGACAACCTGGCAGAGGTTGAGGGGGAAGAGGGCTATCGGGTCAATGGGTGGCTCATACAATTTAGGTGAAAACAGAAAAAAGAAGAGTGCAAAAGCCACCAAGCCCCCAGCTTCCAGAACATGCTGGGTGCTCAGTGGAGGATAGATCCCTGAGATCGTCCCTTGATCTCCTCATTCAGGGTGCCTGCAGGGGCCCAGGATCTGCATTTTGGGTAGGCTCCACTTGGGATCCTGATGATGGTGAGGTTCCAGAAAGAGGGAGGGTACTGTGAATGCCTTGAGACCTGAGGGGCTGGAGACACTGCAGCTGCTCTGGGCTTGGGCAGGGAGACCAGCTCACTGCACCTCTGCCCAGCTGCTCACTGGCCTTGGGGCCCAGGAGGGCTCTGTGGGTCCCACTTCATTGAGAACCAGAAGCCCTTCTGATTGCAGGAAACCTCTTGTGCACTGGGGTTGCCTTGGTCAAGCTATTCTTTACAAGTCCAGAGTCCCATTGACCTCCCTGTGCCTCTCTCTCCTTATCCTTCTAAAAGGAAGACGGGGCACACAGCTCTGACCTGGGAAGAGGGCACATCCCCAAAGCTCTGGGATCATTTAATATATAAGGCGACCTGAGAGGCAGCCCCACCATGAGCTCAGCACACGCTTAAGGGGTGGAGTGAGGGGCTCCAGAGGGCAGAATGACCAGGCCTGGCTGACCATTGCTGGCGCTCCTGTGAAGAAGCCTGGTCTGAGCCTCTGGCCTCTGAGTGGTTCTCTCCCATGAAACAAGGACAAATGCCGGTCTTGCAGCCTATGATGACGGTCAGGTGGATGCAGGTTTGCTGTGGCGGTCAGCAGCTCACGAGATTCCCATCCCATAGCACGTCCATCAAGGACACAGAAGGGTCCCATGAACAGATCTGCTGATCCCAACTGCTACAATTCCTCCTGGGTCTCTTTCTAGGGTTTCACTAAACTGCTGGCCTCTCTGGCCTCTGCTCCTCCGACTTATGCGGCTCAACCCTTCTGAGTGGGAGGGGGAATGCAGACAGCCCCATGCTGTCCTCATTGTTATAAATAGCAACAGTCAGCCTCCCTTAACTGCATGCTCATGAAGTGCCAGGCGCTGTGCTAGGGGCCTTACCCGCAAAGCCTCCATCCCTTCCTGAAACACACGCATCCCCTTGATGCTCCCATTTCACAGATGAGTCTGAGAAGTGAAAACTCATGACTGGTGACCAAGCGATGAAGCCATTATCAAATCAGCTCTGGGAGACTCAAGCCAAGCTCCTTGAACCCCTGCATTCGACTGGATCAGGTTCCTTGTGAGGACAGGGTGGGTGGTGTCTTGTCACCTGCAGCGAGCCAGGGGCTGGTGTCTGCTTTCTATTTCTATGGACAAACTTTTGGAAAGCCTCTGGGGATGGGCGATGCAGGCAACTGCCTGCAATTGGGGCAGCATCCCCATTCTTGTTTTGTCTTTGCACTGGAGCAGAGTACAACATCAACAGGGTCCCTCACTTTGTCACACTCTGGGCTGCCACTGAGGCCTCTGGGGAGCAGGTGTGACAAGAGAAGCAGAAGGGGAGTGATGTGGGGCCAGGAGCCGAGGGATGCAGGCATCCCCTGGGGCCTGGGAAAGCCAGGAAAGGACACACCCTTATTTTAGGGAGATGCATTTTGGACTTTTAACCTTCATAAACTGTAAGATGATAAATTTGTGATGGTCCAAGTCATGAAATTTGTGTTAATATGTGAAAGTAGGAAACACTCTCCAGGCAACTTTTTAGAAGAAAAGCATTTCTTTCCTGAGTCCCTTGGGACTTGGTTTCTTTCTCTCACATCACACTTCTCAGCCTGTGCCGTCCCTTAGCTCTGAGGGGGCTTTGGGGGAGCCTTCCATCTCTGTCTGCCACGCTTTCCTTTGCCCTGTGGGCTTCTCTGTCTCATCTGTCAGGATTAGGGCTCCTGGCTGGGTCAGCTCCTAGGCCAGGGGTGCTGAACGCATCCCCAATTAACTAGTGAACCAGGAGAGATTCGCCCGTTAGGCTGGCCCCGGTCCTGGCAACTGGACCCCCGAGAGATGCTGCACCCACCGTGTGGGAAATCTTTCTCAGCCATCTGTCCTCCCCAATCCAGTCATTCCGGACCTCAGCCTTGCTGCCTGTGAGCTTTGCCCAAGGCCCCAGGGGATTACATGCTGAGAGCTGGGCTTTTCCCTACATCCTTACTTGCCTCCCAATGACAAAAAAAAAAAAAAAAAAAAAAAAATGTCATCCGCTACCCGGCTTGGCTACTGGCAGAATAACACTACATGCACGTCCTACCAGGAGGTGTTTAAAGGCCGGAGCCAGAACACCTTTCCTGTTTGCCTCTTTGTAGCTGGAAAGGTGGGATTGCAGATTTAGTAGACAAGCTGAAGCGGGGAGCAGTGGGAACGTCAGCACAGCAGGAAGAGTGACATCTGCTCACCAAATTCTTCTGGAGGGAGAGCATGGCTGTGCCTGCCATCTGCCTGGGGAAATGCAGGTGTGAGATAAAAGTCACCACAGGGCAAGGGGAAACCTTAGGCACAATTCAGACCCTACCTGTGGTCCATTTACATCTTGTGCTGATTTTATTCTTCAAGTGCGATCTGCTAGGTAATAAAAATGGCCAATAGTGATTGGTGTTTGCAGACAGATTCTTTTTACTGATTCTCTTTAGAGAGGCTTCACTAGCCACCGTTTTCCATCCAAGGCTCTGTTCCTGGGTTTAATGAATCAACCAAGAGTGGATTCCCAGGCCCCTACTCCTCTAGCAACCGGAAATAGTAGCTCTTTATCACAGGCTAGGAAGCGGGTGTGGAGAAAGCACAGCCAAGACACCCTATGGGAGAAATCCTAGGGTGAGTCCCTTAGTCAGGGCTACATTGCTTTGCCCCCTGTCCTCAGGACATATGTCTCTGCCCTTCTGTCCCCTGGGGCAGTGCCCTTACCTCCAGCTAGAGCTAATTGTTTGTCTGGTGCAGAGAATTCAAGGCAGCCCCCAGATCTGCCCCTAGTCAGGGCGTGACCCCGTGCACTCACAGCCTGGGTTCTCATCCTGGGGAGAAGACCCGGGGCTTTCTAGTGCCCAGCGCACTCACATCTCTCCACTGGAACTGGGCTGGCCTGGAGCGTGCCGGACAGAGCAGTCTCTGGGACCATGGCTTGCCTGACTTTCCAAGGCATCGCCCCTCTCTCTGCGCTGGGCAGGTGCCTCTGCAGAGCTCCGAGGGCAAGAAGACATACAGGAAGAACTCTGGCCCCGCAGAGCCCAAGGAACCATGCGCCCATCCCACGGCCCCAGTTTCCAGCAGAGCCAAACTTAACTTGGTGAGGCTCCCCACGGTGATCAGAGCACAGTCATGCATGCAGGGGTACCAAGTACACCCTGATGAATAAACCTCTGCTCAGATTCCTAGAGGCAGCGGCTCCCTCCCTCCTCCAGTGAATCAGACCAGTTTCGCTCCCTCTTTTACCTCCCCCTTCCCCGTGCTCAGCAAAGGAAGGGTGTGTCTGGGCTGTCTCCCTCCTCTCACCCACCTGCACAGCTCTGGGGCACAGCACCCTTGAGATGCTCAAGACTAGCAAATGCTCAAGCAAAAGCCTTGTGAATGGGCAGCTTAACTAGTAAGCCCCATTGGTGGGCGCCTGCACTCATCACTGACATTAGCTCAGCCTTGCACATCCCCCATCACCCCCATCACCTTCCTTCAAGGAGCTTTTCAAAGACTACTTGTTCCTTTCCAAGAACCCAATTCCACCCCACCCCACCCCCGCCCCAATGAAAGCACTAGCTGAACTGACCTTTCTATATCCACGAGCTGCTGCAGCCAGCCACCCAAACAGGCTCCCTACTTCTCCCTAGCCCTCAGGAAGGCTGCCCCCATCCTATTTTATCCCCACCCCATCCCTCACCTTCATTCACTGTTCTCTCCCCAGCACAGTGTCTCAACAGATGTTTGTTGATTGAATGAATGAGTGAACGCTGAGTACTTGATATGGTGAGCTCCCCACAGTAGGTGCTCAGCCAGTCTTTGATCAACACAAGAAGGAATGAATGAACTCTTTTCTTTCCCCACCCAAAGACTCCAATCCATGCAGGCTGAGCCCATGTGCAGGATGGAGCTCCTGGCACTGAGGAGACCACCACCTTCCCCACTGGGGCATCCAGTGCACTGACCTCCTATCCCATGCGCCAAGCACACAGTAGGCGCTCAATAAACACTAGCAAAGCTAATAGTTAATGAATGACTCAGTACAGCCCGCTGGTGGGGGTGCTGCATTCCGTGGCTACTGATGGCGTGAATGAGCCAGCGAACGACTCCCCCTCTACCCCACACCGGGGAGGAGCAGAGCGACCCCCCCCCCCAGCTAGGGTGGCGCCTCCGTCCCCGCCAGGGTCACCCGGCCGTGTGGTCCCGCACTTGGCCCCCCGGGGACCGCAGGAGGAGCCTGAGGGGACTGCACCGCGGATGCCTGGCGAGCTCACTCCCTGCCGCCACCGCGGGTCTTCCGTCGCCCCGGTCTCCTCGCGGGCGGTTTCGAGGCCCGGCCGGGGAGCCCGGGGCTGCGGCCATGTGCGGCTCCCCCAGCCCGAGTCTGCGGGCTCCGCGGCGTCGGGCCAGGCCGGGCTGCGGCGCGCAAAGTTCCCACCTCAAGTTCCCGGCGCGGCGATCCCGCCTCGGA